GGCCCGTTATGAAGTTCTGTTTAAGGATCTGGCCCATTATGAAGTTCAGTTTAAGGGTCTGGCTTGTTATGAAGTTCAGTTTAAGGATCTGGCCCGTTACGAAGTTCTGTTTAAGGATCTGGCCCGTTATGAAGTTCACTTTAAGGATCTGGCCCATTATGAAGTTCTATTTAAGGATCTGGCCCGTTATGAAGTTCAGTTTAAGGATCTGGCCCGTTATGAGGTTCTGTTTAAAGTTCTACCTGTAACCAGATCTTTCATTTTTCAGCAGTTTGGATTTAAGCTGCGGCCTCAGAAGATTCATGATGTCTTTATTTGTCACGAGCAGAAAACGTGTTGATCCAGAACTTTCTGATCAGGTCCATGATCTCAGACGGGCTCCATGTTTCCACTCAGCTGGTTCAGAACCGCCTCCCCTCAGAACTCGCTGCATCTTTCAGTCCGTCCAGCCCCTGATAAGAAGAAAACACGTTTCATTAATCACTTCTTTAGTTTGATGGCGAGCCATTGGGAGTGGGGGGCTCTTTTGGGTGGATTCTGGGGGAGGGGGGTTAGGGTCCAACACAAATCAAACATTTAGTTGAGGAAGATCTATTTGGACTGAGCAGAACTCAGATCGTTGATCTCGTTGATTTGTTGTTTTGAACTCGATGACGCACTGAACAAAGTTTCTTTTGAACAGAATTCTGTTGGACTAAAATTCTGTGCCAATCGTTTGCAGTTAGGTAAAGGTTTGGGCTGTTTTCACTAAAGCAGAATCGGGGGGGGGGGGGCTTGAGGGTCTGGAGGTCTGTCACGTCTTGAGTGTAAAACATTTTTCATTTTATTTTTGTCTTCCTGTGGAAGAATGAACAACCTGGCTGGACTCTGAGCTCTGATTATTTAATCAAGATTTTAGAAGAACTCTGTTTTCTAGTCCTGCACCGTTCTGTGTTTTATCGTGTTTGGAGGTCTGAAGGACTGGACTGGACCAAAGGTCAGGTTCTGGGTCGGCTGGTTGAGCTTTAACTTTTTTCTGCTGGTTTGGTTTAGACAAAAAAATTACAAAACAACGAAGTTGAAGGACTCGTTCAGTTTGGGTGAAAGCAACCTTTTAAAGCTACTGGAGGAGTTCTGCTCCTTTAAAGTTGGTTAACGGGTCCTGACGAGGCGTCGGCTCGTTACTCAATGAGCTGTTTAACGTTCAGACACGAGTCAGTGTGGTCTCTGGAGGAGCTGCAGAACAACTCCGCTCACCTCAGGCTGGCTGCAGAGTCTCCACTGCATCAAAGATGGCTGCTTCCAGCTCGTCCTCTAAATCAAAGACACCCCCCCCCCCCCCCCAGCTTTGTGATGAACAGCCTCTTTGTGTACAGTATTGATCAGCTCGGTGTGAAACTCCTCCTGTGGTCTGTCAGGTCAGCGTCCTGCTGTACGAAGCTTCTGCACAACGTTCTGAAGGAACATTCAAACTTCTCTGCTGCTGTTGTGAAACTTGAACAAACAGAATCAATAAAAGTTCCACATTTGTACAACATGTCTTCTTTGTTCCATCGGATAATGACGTCCCAACACGTTAACAGATGCACATCAACAGATGTTTTACTGATGTGCCGACATGCTAACAGATGCACATCAACAGATGTTTTACTGACATGCCAACATGTTAACAGATGTGCATCAACAGATGTTTTACAGATGTGCTGACACGTTAACA